ATTATATTTGTTATATATATATAAATTTTACATATATAAATAATGAATCTACAGATTTTTAAGATATATTTATTTTAAAAAAAATCAATGACATTAATAACGAATAAGTAATTTTTGAAATTATTTCATGAATAAATGAAATGAATGATCTAATCTTAAATTCTATAATCTAATCTTAATTTTAAATTAAGTAATTTAAATTAAATTATTTAATCATTCACCGTATTTAAAAAGTTTGTATTTTTAATAAAAATTTTATTTATAATTCAATTAAACATAATTTAATTTTAAACATATAAATAATTGAAATGAAATATTATATGCAAAATATAAATGTATATTTTATAAGAATTTATTTATCTCTAAATTATCTCTAGCAAAAAAGAAAATTACAATTTTAATTACCTGTTTTCCTTTTCTATATATATAACCGCAGCATTCTATTTAATCTGGATTGCAAATTTTAGTCCGATACATTGTGTAGAAATTTTGTTGATCGACGTTTTGAACACATCCGCGACCAACGATTATCTTTTGTAGTTTATTATGAACACTCTCAAGTATCATATTCAAGCAGTTTTTGTTAATTGACTTAAAAATTTGTATTCGAAACTGCTTTGTATGTTTCCTTCTAATGTTTCCTTTTTACTTTATAACTTAAAAATTTATTTATTGAATTGAAAAATTTTCCACACATTCACTACTTTTTTCTTCAATATAATCACGATTAATACTTTTAGTTTATGTTAAATATCAATGTTTAGATAATCTATTTGACACACCTTATCGTTGCATCGATTTCCTTGTTTTCATAGGTTAGGTATGGCCCAGCAAATGCTATCTTACTATGGCGGCAATTTTAAAATTAAAATTTGAAGCACTTCATTTTTATTTTGCAATTTATTATTGCCATAATTTAAAATATTAATGCAATTTGAATTAAGTAAATTTTTATATATTTATTTTTGTTTTAAGAAATTAAAATCAAAATCATTTTATTATGATGTATTTATGATAAAATACTAAAAATAATGTAAATATGTAAAATGACATAAATATTGTTTTACTTTGTGAAAAATATAAAAATTTTGAAAAATATAAATTTATATCGAAAATGAAAAAAACTAATAAATTATAGGTTATTATTATAAAAAAACTGTTAGCTGTAATAACAATTGCAATGGATGATTTTCATTTTTCCTTTCTAAGCGATTTATATTAAAGGACATAATCGGAAACATGTGATTTAATGTCAAAATTTTATATTATTCCTGTAATATTTTCATTAAAATTAATAATAAAAGTAATTTTTGAATGGAATTATTAATTTATTTCCATAAAATATTAAACATTTATTATTTTAATATTATTTGATTTTGTTATAAAGTATAAAAATAATTTGTATGTTAAATTTATAAATAATTTATTAGATACATACATTTATTATTTATTGTTTAAATATTTGATTACAATGAAAATAATAAGATTTAGAATATTTAATTAATTTCTTAATAAAAAAATTGAATTAATTCTACTTAAATGAATAATATTAATTACGATATGTATCAATGATTATTAAGTGAGTATTCTATTGAAACATTTTACGTGCGAAAAATAATTTATCGTTGTATGCTTTAATACATAAGAAAAAAAGTATATTATATTTATTTAAATGTTAACATTTCATTGACAAACTCATCATTATCACGCCATAATTGTTATCGTCAATGATAATATTGTCTTAATACTGAAAGCTGTCTAAACAATTTCTAAATATTTATAATTATAATATTAATCATTTAATAACTGAGTTGCAGGATCAGTAAGAGGAATATAAGAAACTTGCATTAATTTTTTCTTTGTGATTGTACCATCTATATTTTTATCCACTTGTACCAGATCTTGAAACCTTTGAAAACCTTCTATAGCAACAACTGGACAAATTAGCCGTCCACCAGGAGTCAGTTGATCTATTAACTGGAATATAGAAGAAACTTTATTTGCAAAAATATATTTACATATATGTTCATCTTTAAATACATTTTGATACCTGTTGTGGTAGAGTTTCCGCTGCCGCTCCAACGTGAATCGCATTGTAAGGGCAGTCAGCAGCATATCCCAATCGGCCGTCTCCCACTAGGCGCATTTATAATGACCTGTTGTTAGTCTTTGGTCTATTTTTACATAATGCACAGCAAAGTCACGCAGTTGGTGGACACAGTCCTGTTTGATTCTTCGTGGCAAGGTACATACCTACTCCACGTTGGTGGATTACGAGTATTTTTTACTTCAATACATTTATGTTATTTTCAAATTCTTGAATATGTGAAGTTTTCAAATGTTGTAGGAAAAAGACCATGTATTGACAAGTAATTCCTTTTTCCTTTTTCCCGACACCAACTATTCGTGAATAGAAGTTGCAACGTGTTTATAGTTTCGCATATTCTTACCTACAAATTTAACGCGTTCTTCCTGGATGAAATGAGGACAATCTTCGCTTACGTTTTTCGTAGAAATTTCTATTAATTCTGGAATATGATCGATTCCGATTACACGACCACGTGAACCGACCATGAATGCCATACATGCAGTCAGGTAACCAGATCCAGAACCAACATCCAATGCTTTTGCTCCATCGAACAATTGGTCAGATAGAATAGACAAGGCATATGCATGCTAGAAAAAATTTTTTTTAATTCTAAGAAGATATATTTATAAATATACTTCAAATGAACCAATTCTAAGGAAATTTAAATTATTTATTATTATATAAATTATGTAAGCTAAACAATATTTTTTATAAAAAATAATTATTAACCATGTGAGGAGCACTAATAGTAACATTGTAACCAATTTTTCTTGGTTGATCAAGATATGGATTTGATTCATGATAATAGTTCCCTCTATCTACAGCAAGCATCGCAGCTTCTGCTCTGTCTGTTGTTAGAATACCTGCTTCTATAATGTGATTTTATAATTAATTTTTACATATTCCATAAAACTTAGAGATCATTTTAATTTATATATATAAAAAAGCTTTACCTTTTAATTTGGTTACCATTTCATGGTTTGTACTTCCACTGCAATGCCATGCCATGTTCTACACTATATATATATGTATGAATACATAATGTTGAATTTACAGAAAGTATATTTTTCAAAGAATTACAATAAAAAAATTATTGTAAAAAAATATATATATATAATAATTAATAGAAGAAAAGTTTTATAAAATAATGTGAATTACATAACAACATTATATTTAAATTTAATAAATATAATAACTAGCATAAATATCATATTAAATTTGCTTATAAATATATATAAAACTTTTCCAATATATTTTTTCCAAGTTAGAATATTGTTCAAATGAAAAAAATGTTTGCAATATTTAAATATACATGAATATATGAAAAAGTTTTATATAGGTTAAATTTAAAAAGCTCAAAATATGAATATCAAAAATTTTTCTGAATATATACAATTTTTATTTTTAAAAATTATAATACGAAGAAAATTAAAATATCAAAATATAAGAAGAAACAAGAATATTTTATTAAAAATATCTTTTATATTAGAGAAAATTAATATAATGTACATTCACCAATTTAATGTGACTATTTGCATTTTGAAGAAAAAAAATCGTTATCTTGATCTGTTTATTAAAGTTCGATAATACTTATTTAGAAATCGAGTCACTATTTTCTTTTTTTTTTTACAAAGTGGTACATATTGAACACAATTAAAATACAATTTTGTTAGGTTAAGTACCTTTTTTACCGTTATCTAGTTGCGCCAGATACGTTCTGATGTATATAAGGATAATACATGTTGCATCTCCATATATATATATATATATATATATATATATATATATATATATTA